TGGAATGAGATGGACATCATTACCCTAGTACATGTATGAAGACACGAATGGTGTGACTCTAACTTGTATACAACCAGAGATATGAAAAATTGTGTTCTGTATGTATAATATGAATTGTAATGCCTTCTGCTGTCATATATAAGAAGTTAGAATTAAAAAAAAATATACTTTGCTGCCATGTATACCTAAAAAGAACTAGTAAACCTGAAACAAACAAACAAATAAAAACACCAATATTGGGGGGAAAAAGACTTCATCCTGAGGATCCTGGGAATGTATGTAGCCCAGTAATAGTGAGCACTTGCCTGGCATGTGTGAGGCCCTGGGTTTAATCCCCAATACTAAAAAAAAGAAAGAAAGAAAGAAAGAAAGAAAAAGAGAGAGAGACTTCAATTGATGTGAGCAAAAATTTGGTTTCTTTCATACAGAAAAATTGTCATAGAGTTCATTATTACCTGTGTTATTAAAGTGTCAAGCATTTTGTACTTTTCAGAATTTATGATTTTATATATAATTATTAGCATTTATACTCGGATATTTTGCTCTGAAGGCATTTTTTAGTGCCATGTATTATTTATTTCCAATAGCATTAAACTAGATCTCGTCCAGCAAAAGAGATGAGTTTATTTCAAAAGAAGCTCAGAGAGGGCTGGGGTTGTGGCTCAGTGGTTGAGCGCTTGCCTCACACATGTGAGGTACTGGGTTCAATCCTCAGCACCAGAAAAAAAATAACCAAATTAAGGTTTTTAAAAAAAAAAGAAGCTCAGAGAAATGAAATGAATGTCTATTCTAAATGGGACCTGCACAAAAAATTTAATATTAGAGGCTGAGGCTGTAGCTCAGCAGTAGTGTGCTTGCCCAGCATGTGGGAGGCCCTGGGTTCAATCCTCAGCACCACATTAAAAAAAGTAAAGGGCTGGGGATGTGGCTCAAGCGGTAGCGCGCTCGCCTGGCATGCATGCGACCCGGGTTCGATCCTCAGCACCACATACCAACAAAGATGTTGTGTCTGCCGAGAACTAAAAAATAAACATTAAAAAAAAATTCTCTCTCTCTCTCTCTCTCTCTCTCTCTCCCCCCCTCTCTCACTCTCTCTTAAAAAAAAATTTAAAAAAAAAGTAAATAAATAAACAAATAAAATAAAGATATTAAAAATATATTTAATATTAAACCAATAAAGAGCTATCAGTTATATAAAAATGTCTTCTTAATTTGCTACAAAGCTGTAATCATTCATTAAGTGAGTAAATATTTACTAAAAACTATTATTTGGTAGGTGCTAAGAGTGAAAATATCCTAATCCTGTTTTCACAGATCTTGGTCTAGTAGCCCAGGTCATATACAAATAAACAATTCATTTGCAACACTGAATACTGAGTTATTCTGTAGTGGAAATGTATACTAAGAACATTTGAAACAATGAGTAATTAATTGATTATGCTTAGAGGGACTAGGGAACTTCTTTCTTTTGTGTGTGTACATGTGGGGGATTGAAGCCAGGCCTTTGAGCATGCTAAGCAGGCTCTACCACTGAGCCACATCCCCAGTCCCAAATGGAGAATTTCTTGATGTTCACAAACAAGTGGAAAAAAAAAAAACTAATTTCCCAAGCAAAGCTTCCCTAATCTCTTAATGAACAAAAATTAAGTTCTTAGTGGCTTCCCAACATACCAGGACCACTCCCCTTAGGCTGCAACCACATAAAAACCCTTATGAATTTCATGCAGAGAAGACAGACTTTCAATTCTGGAAATTAAGCAGAAGTGTCCTTTGGGAGTAGTTGAGGTTTGGGTAATAAGATCTGTAAGACCTGTAGTCTGCTCCTGTACAACTTGACATTGTCTCTATTGGAGGAGGTCTTTGGAGCTGGAGCACCTTTTTTATATCTCTCTCTTTCTCTTTTCTTGTGGTGCTAGGTATTGACCCCAGGACCTTCCTCTGGCTAGGCAAGTGTTCTTCCATTGAGCTACATCCCAACCCTAACCCCACACACACCTTTTATTTTTTTCTTTCTATTTAAAAATTTTTATCTTGAGATAGGGCCTTGCTAAGCTGCCCAGGCTGGACTCTAACTTGCAACCTGCAGTCCTCCTACCTCAGCCTCCCTGGTGGCATGTGCCACAACATCGACCTCACCTTTACTTATTTTTTTAATGTGTCTTTTTTTGTGAATAAATTAACTGCAGTTGTAACAAACCAGACAACGAAGTGACAGAAGATCCCTCAAGTGTAAGAGAAGGAGGTTTGGTGTGTGGGCTTGAAGGAAGACAATCCTGGGTTCAGATTCAAAGTCTACTTAATGTTACACTGACAAATTAATTGTTTGCTCTTATCTTCAGTTTTCACTTCTGTAAAATAGATTACCTGATAAAATGACTATGAAGGTTAAATAGCACAATGCTTGAAAACTACCAAGACTGTGCTTGGCACTCCCACATGGGGACTGCTGTGATCCCCACAGGGTCATGCTGATGGTGGTGGTGATGAGATGGGTCATGATGAGATGATATGCTTTGTTTTATTGTTATCATTACTATTATAGTGCTTCAATAACAGAAGTAATGTTTTCTTTTTCTAGACACCGCCAAAAGAAACATTTATAATTGCGGATGTTCGGTCACTCTCAAGCAGTTCTCCAGAGCAGAAGCAGTGCCCTTCATCAACCTTTCGTCCTTCCACCTCTTTAAGAAAGAAGAATAACCTAGGGGAGAGAGAGCTGCCCCCTTGGAGGTCCTCTGATAAGCATCCAACTGATATCATTCGGTTTAACTACCTGGACAACTGCAACCCCCTCCAGCCAGGGCAAGGGTAAGGAACTCTCCTTGGTACTTGGGTATTTTAAAAGAGGAGAATAGAACTTACTGTGAAATACCAAAGCTTTCCAATACATTGGAGCAAGAGGTCATTGGAAAAGTAAACTACCCATCCTTTGCACCTTTGCCCTGTTCATGGTGGTTCTTTGCATTTTGTTGCTGCAACAACCCCACCCTGCAGCCTTTTCATGTTTCAATGTTCAATTGCAAGCCAGCACCCTGGGGTACATTCTAGCCTCCCCCTTCTCACCCTGGTATTTCCCTTCTGCAACAGCCAGTGGGTAAATGAGAGGGAGGTACTCACATATGTAACACAAGGTAAACTGAGTCAGCTTTGTTGTAATCTCTGCGACTCAGGAGGCAGAGGCAGAGGCAGGAGGATGGCAAGTTCTAGGCCTACCTGAGCAACTTAGCGACACCCTGTCTCAAAATAAAAAATAGTAAAAGGGGCTAGAGGTGTCCATTGCCACACACACACACACACACACACACAAAAACAAAAGTTAGGAAATTTTTTTGAAAATTAAGTGGCAGGAAATATTCGGGCAAAGGCAGTGTTTATTTGTTTATTTATGTTTGGTCCTTGGGATTGAACCTGGGGCACTCAAACACTGCGCCACACCCTCAGCCCTTTTTTATTTTGAGGCAAGGTCTCACTGAGTTGCTTAGAGCCTCACTAAGTTGCTGAGGCTCGCTCTGAACTGGTGATCCTTGTGCCTCAGCCTCCCAAACCCTGGGATTATAGGTGTGCACCATTGCAATAATACACAAGTAGAGAGAAGAGAAAACAAACCCCTGCAACCAATGTCTAGCATGAGCAGTTTTCAACTCTGGTGCACTCTGGTTTCACTTGTTCCTTGCCCACTCTGCTCCTCCCATGGGTTATTTTTGAGACAAATCTTAGGTCATGTGGTTTCATCCATCCTGTTATAGAAATCAGGCCTTTTGTCCTGTAGAGCTTCTCACATTCTGGGTTTTGGGGATTTCACTGCCACTGTGCTACTTAACGTGTCCTCTGTCCTCTGTGGTTGGCCATGCAGATGGTCAGGAGTGTAACTTCCCATTCTTGTGTTGTACCCGGTGCAGATTGACATTGGTCATGTATTCACACATGAACATGGGAAAGTGATGTCGTTCTACTGTCTTTCCCATTCCCATCTCTCTCCCTTCTCTGTCTCTGTCCTGACCAATCGGTGAACACCCCCCCACCCCGCCTATGGTGAGTCAGCATCTGCATAATCAGAGAGAACATCTGTCCTTTGTCAACTCTGCTCTTATAACCTAAAAACAGGCATAGACCATACGAAAAAAGAAACATGGCTATGTGCCAATAAAACTTTATTTATAGAAATGGGAAGCAGACTGGATTTGGCCTGTGGGCTGCGGTTTGACAACCTCTGCTTCATGTGTGTGGTACTTTTAGAAACCAGTGCTAATAATAATACCAACAGTGTGATTACTGAAAACGGTTTATGATTTCCTTGCCTGTGTTTTCGTCTTTAGTATACACTCAACTAAGAATACTCAGACAGATGACTATGTTAAAGTCCCATGAAATGACTCTGTGTGTGTGGTAATGCCATCGACCTCGTGGGCAAGATCATTTGTTTCTTTCTTTTTTTTTTTTTAAATAAATCTTAGGGATTTTTTTCCCTTCACTTTTGCTCATAAATTGGAGAAAAATTTAGATGGTTCCAACCTTAAATATGCAAAATAAGATATAAATGACATAGTTTAGTTTCTGTCCCTGTTTTCCATATTCCCTGTTCCTGATCAGTTGACGTGAGAATCCTACTTATAGCTAAACATTTTTTTTTAAATTTTGTAGTTTGATTCTTCCATTAAAAAATACAAGCATAATAATAATAATAATAATAATAACTTTAAAAATAGAGGCTGGGGGGGCTAGGGATGTGGCTCAAGCGGTAGCGCGCTCACCTGGCATGCGTGAGGCCCGAGTTCGATCCTCAGCACCACATACAAAGAAAGATGTTGTGTCCACCAAAAAATAAAAATAAATTAAAAAAAAATAGAGGCTGGGGCTGTAGCTTAGTGGCAGAGTCACTGAGTGGCAGAGTCCTTGCCTAGCATGTGTGAGGCCCTGTTAGATCCTCAGCAGCACCACATTAAAATAAATAGAATAAAAGTATTCTGTCCATCTACATCAACAACAACAAATTTTCTTTAATCTTAAAAAATAGAAAGCAGCTCTCTCTCACCAGCCTCTGGAGACTATCCCTCGCTCTTCCATTTGAGAAGCTTGAGGCCAAGAGTGGAGGAGCCTTCCTGAAGCTTGTTTAAAGGTTATGTATTTGAAACAACTCCACCCCAAACTACCATGAGACCCATGATTTCATCAGCATTATTTTTAGCTAAATAAAAAAAGCTCTGCAGGGCCTCAAGAGTCTCCCTCCAGGGAAAATTCAATAACACAACAGTTGCACCAAGCAGAAAGAAACGCGAGCGGTATGAAAAGACAAGGAAAGAAAGGACCACAAGCAGTGCAGGTCAACTCAACTTTAGAAGAGGTAATAGCTGCAGCAGATGGAATGTCAGATAAAGAATTCAGGATATACATGCTTCAGATG